TTCACATTCACAACTGTCTCACTTAGCAACAGAAAATTTTGGCTTTGAAGACCGCCTGTTTGACGTAGACATACATACAGCAACCACTGTGAGGAAACGTACCTCACACCTCCCAGCGCACACTTTCATAGTTGCATTGAAATGTGACAAGCAAGCATGCAAAAAATGGAGCTGGCATTATGATGCACATTTTATTCCTTGCTTTCAACCCCAACGGAGTTTAAAATCAGCCCCGGAATTATCATTATCATTATTTTTTTAAAAAAATCACTTTTTTTCTTTGGCTAGATTGCTTAATATTATTAAGGAAAAGTTGTAAAAAAAAAAAAAGTAGAATACAATGCTTTGCATTTGTTGTTGTTTCCCCTTCCTGGAGAATAAATTTGGATATAATAATTTCTTGAAAATTAAGGATATAATTATAGCTGTTTGGATGTTGCTAATCTCAGCTGTCGGAATTTCCGAACTAACCATGGCTGATACTAAGTGTTATATTACAGGTAGTCCTCAATTTACGGCCACATTTTGCAACCTTTCTTGCCCCCGTGGGTAAGTGAATCACTGCGGTTGTTAAATTACTCACATGGTTGTTAAGTGAATCTGGCTTCCCCCTTGACTTTGCTTGTCAGAAGGTCGCAAAAGGGGATCACGTGACCCCCTCCCCCCGGGACACTATGGCCGTCATAAATATGAGTCAGTTCCATCGGAACTGTAATCATGTTTCCAAATCTCCAAATGTTTCCAAATCTACCTTCTGTAGATTTGTGCAGAGAAAGTTTTGCCCTTCTGTGCATTGGTATCAGATTTTATTTGTTTATGTTAAGATTAAGTCAGCTGAAATGTGATTCTTTTTCTCTTCTGTTGGCTTCATTTTGAGTGCTGTCATTTCTTTCAAGATGGATGGGTAAGCTTCCAAGTGTACTTCATTCCTAAAAATCTTTTCTTTCTTTCTTTCTTTCTTTCTTTCTTTCTTTCTTTCTTTCTTTCCCTCCCTCGCTCCCCTCCCCTCCCCTTCCTTTCTCTCCACTCCCTTCCTCTCTTCCTCCCTTTCTCTCTCTTTCCTTCCTTCCTTCCTTCCTTCCCTCCCTCCCCTTCCTTTCTTCCTTTCTCTCTCCTCCCTCCCTTTCTCTCTCTCTCTTTCTTTCCTTCCTTCCCTTCTCCCTCCCTTCCCTCCCTCCCTTCCTTCCTCCCTTTCTCTCTCCTTCCTTCCTTCCTTCCTTCCTTCCTTCCTTCCTTCCTTCCTTCCTTCCTTCCTTCCCTCCCCTTCCTTCCTTCCTTTCTCTCTCCTCCCTCCCTCCCTCCTTCCTTCCTTCCTTCCTTCCTTCCTTCCTTCCTTCCTTCCTCTCTCCTTCCTCCCTCCCTCCCTCCCTCCCTTCTAGCTTTTATAGCTGAGGGCACAAAACAGCTTGAATTTGCAATGATTTATGCTTATTTGCCTGTGTGTGTGTGTGTGAGAGAGAGAGAGAGAGAGAGAAAGAGAGAGAGAGAGAGAGAGAGAGAGAGAGAGAATGTTCTGGCACCCTTCTAACTATTCTGGAAGTCTTTCTAGGTTGAAAGAAATGGTTTCAGTAACCTGGAATGGAGATTTTAGCCTACCCTCCTATTTTGAACTTTGGGGGGGGGAACCCCACTCACTTTAAATCCAACCATTGGGCTCTGATATACTTGAAGGGGAGGCCAACTGGGAATTCAGTCACCATGGTCTGGAGAGCCAAGGATGGGAATCTTTTTTGAAACAACCCCCCGCTTTTTTAAAAAAAACAAAACAAAACAAAATAAGTAGAAAACAAAAGGAACTAGTGACATAATTCTACTAAGAAAGCTACATAAATGAATCACACAAGTGAAGCTCCACATTTTAGTGGTAAAGTATATATCACAGCCCTAAGCGATTTACAGAGTCAACCTATTGCCCCCAGCCATCTGGGTTCTCATTTTACCAACCTTAGAAGGATGGAAGGCTGAGTCAATAGCAATAGCACTTAGACTGACATACCGCTTCACGGTGCTTTACAGCCCTCTCTAAGCGGTTTACAAAGTCAGCTTCTTGCCCCCCAACAATCTCAGTCCTCATTTTACCGATCTTGGAAGGATGGAAGGCTGAGTCAACCTTGAGCTAGTCAGGATCGAACTTCTGGCAGTGGGCAGAATTAGCCTGCAATACTGTATTCTAACCACTGCACCATCACAACTCTTTATTTATAAATGAATTAATTAATTAATTAGTTATCTAAAGGACAACTTTCTGAAATAAAGGATCAGTGTTTACAAGAAAGGGAACTGGGTCACTATATAGCAATATCAATAGCAATAGTCCTTAGACTTATATACCACTTCACAGTACTTTACAATTGTCTCTAAGTGGTTTAGAGAGTCAGCATAATGCCCCCAACAATCTGGGCCCTCATTTTACCGACCTCAGAAGGATGGAAGGCAGAGTCAACCTTGAGCTGGTCAGGATCGAACTTCTGGCAGTGAGCAATGAGTTAGCCCGCACTACGGCTCTTAATATTTTCGGGGTGGGGGGGGAGAGATATTGACACGCTTGTATATATTTACATCTTGTGAGAAAAAAGCTAAATCATCGATTAGAAAGGGCTAGAAATTTAAATAAGTAAACCTACAGCGCCACAAACAAATATTCCAAGGTGCCTAATTTAATCTTGGTTCTCTTAAATCCAAGCTCTGACCAGAAATTACCCTGCTCAGCAGAAGCTCTAATGAAATCTTAGCACATGCTGCTTTGGCTGCAGGCTCATTCATTCATTTTTATTTTTATTTTTATTTTTATTTTTTATTATGTTTTGGTTAATAGTACGACTTGGGAAAATGGGGGCCCCTAAACCCATTAGAAAAATTTATAGTTGCACAACTTCGTCAGAGGATTGTGAATGCTGCTATCTCCTCTTTAATTATCCCTGGGATTTCATGAGCTTGCACATTGGATTTTGGGGTGGTGCTGGATGCATCGTTTGCTAAAGCTGTTGTGGTTTTCCATGCACCGGGGCGTGTTTCCATGCCTATACAGAAGTGCAACTCAGCTAAGTGAAAAATAAATGCTTGGTACTGCAAAGACATGAAAAGTGGCTTTGTAACAAATGAGATGCATAAATAGAATGAAGATTTCAGCTTATTCCTCCGTTTTCCCTTCTTCCATCTCCTTTTCAGTCCACCATTAGTATAGGTCAGTGATGGCTAACCTTTTCCGGACTGAGTGCCCAAAGCAGGGGTGAAATGCTCCCAGTTCGGACCGGATTGCCTGATCTGGAAGCGATGGTGGCGGGTGGTTCAGAGAACCGGTAGCAAAAATCCCTGCCCTCCCCCATGCCCAGCTGAGCCGCGCGATCATCAGGGGCTTTTTTTTTTTAAAGCATTTTTTCTACAACCTCTTCGGCTGAAAAAATGCTTTTAAAAATAAATTAAAAAAAGCCTCTGATGATCGCGCGGCTCAGCTGGGATCGTCAGAGCTTTTTAAAGGCATTTTTCTACAACCTTTTCAGCCGAAGAGGTTGTAGAAAAAATGGTTTTAAAAGTTAAAAAAAAAAAGTTGGCTATGCCCACTCAGTCACATTATCCCCCCCCCCCAAGCCACACTCACTAACTGGTAGTAACAAATTTTATATTTCACCACTGGCCCAAAGCATGCATGTGTGCATGCAAATACAATGCATGTGCGGCTCTGATGCATGCGCCCTGCGCCTATGCATGCATGCTCCCCCCAGATTCGACCTGCTCCACACATGCGCCCCATCCCCCCCGCATGCACTCTGGCCCTCGTGCATGCACGTACCCCCCCCTGCATGCCCCCAGCCCCCTGTGCATGCACGGCAGAGACCCGATGACCAGCTGCCCAACAGGAGGCACACGGTCATGCACGGCAGACCTGAAATGGGGCAATGGCTCGCGTGCCCACAGAGAGGGCGCTGTGTGTCACCTGTGGCACATGTGCCATAGGTTTGCCATCACGGGAATAGGTAGTCCTCGATTTACAATCCGCTCATTTGGTGACCGTAAAAGTTACAACGGCACTGAAAATGGTGACTTATGACCATTTTTCACACTTACAACCAATCAGAATAGAGCTGGAAGGGACCTTGGAGGTCTTCTAGTCCAACCCCCTGCTCAAGCAGGAGACCCTATACCATTCCAGACAAGTGGCTGTCCAGTCTCTTCTTAAAAACCTCCAGTGTTGGTGCACCTACAACTTCTGAAGACAAGCTGTTCCATTGGTTAATTGTCCTCACTGTTAGGAAGTTTCTCCTTAATTCCAGGTTGCTTCTTTCCTTGATTACTTTCCATCCACTGTTTCTTGTCTTGCCTTCTGGTGCTTTGGAGAATAAGTTGACCTCCCTCTCCTTTGTGGCAGCCCCTCAAATCCTGGAAGACTGCTATCATGTCTCCTCCAGTCCTTCCTTTCTCTAGACTGGCCATACCCAATTCCTGCAACTGTTCTTCATACGTTTTAATCTCCGGGCTTTTAAGAATCTTAATTGTTCTTCTTTGCATTGAAGACATCCCTATGGTCACATGATCAAAATTTGGATGCTTTGGAAATTAACTCATATTTGCAGTGTCCCGGGCTCATGTAATCCCTTTTGAAGACTTTTTAACAAGCCCAGTCAATGGGGAAGCCAGATTTGCTTGACCATCGTGTTATTAATTTAACGACTGCAGGGATTCATCTAACAGCTGTGGCAAGGAAGGTCATAAAATGGGGCCAAATCCACTTAATAACTGTCTCTCTGAGCAATGTAAATTTGGAGCTGTGGGTCGTAAGTCGAGCGCTATCTTTATTTCAGGATTTCAGCCTGTAAGAAAGAAATGGCTGTGTTTTTCATAATGGAAGGTTAAATATCATGCCTACGTCTTGATTGTTTTTTTGGTTTTTTTTTTTTTTTTTTTGGTGTTTGGGGGTTGCCATCTTCTCTACATCATCGGTGTTATGAAAATTAATATTTAACTATTGTCCCCCCTTCTTTTTTGGTTTTCTTCCTTGTTAGGAACGACCTTGATGACTGCCGGAACTGTTCTGGGCTCCCACCTCCTCCTCCTCTCTCTGTTTGTTAAGAGCTCCTGCGTGTTAATTGACGTTGGCCTCTTCCAAGAGTTAAAAGGTAATTATTTGCCCATTTAATGTTCTGCTTGTTAAATTTCCTCATCGGGGCCAGTAGGAAAAAGGGGTGAGGTCTGAAGGAGATGGCGTGGAAACTTTTAGTCTTGCGTAAACTTCTGAATTGGGACTCGACTGCATTTGCATTTTTGGAAAATTATGCCAAGAAGATAATATTGCAGATATACAGGTAGTCCGTGACTTATGGTAGCCCGTTTAGTGACCATTCAAAGTTACAGCGGCACTGAAAAAAGAGACTTGGAATCGGTCACGACCTTTGCCGCGTCCCCATGATCATGTGACCAAAATTCCAATGCTCAGCAACTGGTTCACACTTATGACCGTTGTTATGTTCCAAGGTCACGCGATCCTTTTTTTGAGACCTTCTGACAACCAAAGTCGACGGGGAAGCTAAATTCACTTCACAACCTGGTTACTAACTTATCAACTGCGGTGGTTAACGACTGTGGCGAGAAAGGTCGTAAAATGAGGGAAAACTCCCTTCACAAATGTCTCACTTAGCAACATAAATTTGGGGCTCCATTGTGGTCGTAAGTCAAGGACTCCCTGTATTTTGCTCTGGTTTGCTCTTCTTGCATAGGAAAATGGACCTCACTTCTAGAGCAGGGGTGGGTTTCTACCGGTTCGGGAAAACCGGTAGTGGCGGTGGCCACCTGCCCAGACGTCATCAAAAACGCTCTGCGATAGTAAACCGGATTTGCATCCCATCTCTGTTCTAGACCTTTGTAGATGTTCGAGATCGTGTGGCCTCATCGTTTTTTTTTCTCCTCCGGTTTTGGCCTAGAAAATAATTTCTCTGCCGGTGTTAGCCATGGCCAAGCCTTGCATAAACATTTAGCTACGAATGTTGATTAGATGTTCTAGCTATCGGGCCAGACTGGCAATGATAAACCGAACAGGAATGCGGAGATTAAACTTAAGAAAAGTAAAATATAATGGAAGGGGCAGTCAAGGCAGCATTGCTCCTAATTCTTTTTTAATCTTGATTAACCAAATCACCGGATTTCTGTGTTTGCTGACCCTGAAAAGCTCCAGAGAAACGTTGGCTTGAGGAGATGGCAGGGAAAAGTTGGCTCTGCTCGGCTTGAATAAAACATTTATTTTTTTCCTTTCCTGTCTTGTCAGAAAAGCAGCCCCGACATGTTTTCTAGTGATCAGGACGGACTGTGTTAAATGGCTTTCTGGGAGAGTCTTGGTAGAATAATTGTTAAATGCCAGATGGGTGGCATAGAATACAGTTATTCCTCGACTTAATAACCATTCGTTTAGTAATTGTTCAAAGTTACACACACTTGCGACCGTTGCGTGGCCACCTGATCAAAATTTGGACACTTATATGCAACTGGCATATATTTATGACGATGGGTAACTTTCCCCGGGATCAAGGGATCCTCTTTTGCGACCTTCAGACAAACAAAGTCAATGGGGAAGCTGGATTCACTTAACAACCCTGCTATTAGCTTAACAGCTGCAGCAATTCGCTTAACATCTGAAAGAAAGGTGGTAAAACGGGGCAAAACTCACTTAAACACTTTGTTTTTCCTTAGCAATGGAAATGTTGGGCTCAATTGTGGTTGTAAGTCGAGGACTACCTGTAGAAGCAGCCTCTACATTTATTTTTTCGTTTGGGGGGCTGTTCAGAACCCTTTACAACAAGTTGACTTTTTTCTTCTACCTCTTCTTCCTCTTCCTCCTTCTAAGTCCACTCCTCAAGGAAAGAGGTTCTGTTTTTCTTGGCTAGTTGGTATTTCGTAATTGTTAAGGGTTTTTTTTTTTCAGGTGCAAGAAAGAGGTTGGAACATATAAACATATGTGGTGGGATTGTGATACTACACAAAAAATATGGGACATGGTATTTAGAGAAATTAGAGCCCTTTTGAATATAAATTTAGATATGTCACCGAGAATTGCATTACTGTTGTTGATGGAAAAACAAGATATAAATGAAACAAAAAAGGAATTGATTGTAAAATTGATCATGGCAGCTAGATTAGTAATGGCTAAATATTGGGGATGAAGTTGGGATATTCAAAGAAATGAGTGGTATAATGAAATTTGGAGTATGGCAACAAAGAATAAATTAACAGCAGAAATTCAATTTTAAAAAGGGATGATTAAAGTAAACAATTATAATGAAATGTGGGGGGATTTTATAAAAACAGTGTTGGTGGAAGGCAAAGGGAATAAACCTACTCAAGAACATATGTTGTTTTGGAGGGGATCAGGACACCATTTGAATATATTGTTTATCTTTTAGCTGTTATAGAAGAAGAAATATAAGAAAAAAAGTGCAGCCTCTGGGGGTGAGGCTGCACTGTGATATTTGTATTTTTTTTCCTTTTTTTGTATGTACATGTATATGTACCATGTTTGTATTATTTGCATTAAAAATAAAATTAAAAAATATTTTTTAAAGACTACTTGGAAGTAATTAGTTGATTCAGATTGAAGATTTTTTTTGATGTTCAGTTGATCTATCTGTCCCCCAGTTCTGTAAATAAAACTTAATGGGGACAATCCTGATGGTTGACTGAAATCATACTGGTAAAGAGCAATGAACGGAATCTGACTGCTTCTTCAATTTTGCTGCAGATCTGCTTTTGGAGTAAAACTTTTATTATCACTAGAAATAATTTATTCTTTGGTTTTATTGGTTTGAAACGATGTAAGCTGCCCATATTTGCCTTGGGGCAAGATGGATGGTCAATAAAATAAAAATAATAATATAATAAAATATTAGGTGAATCCCTGATGTCAAAATTTTCAGAAGTCCATGCTAAAAAAAACCCGCACAATTTAGAAAAGACTGAAATTTTCTTGGAGCAACATGTCTGCTTTATAATATAAATATATTGTTTTGGAGTCTTAAATGATACTTGCATTGGCAAGTGAAATCGGCTCTTATGGCATTCTGACAGGGGACAAATGAACATTTAAAAATGACAGATGTTTGGCTCGGACTTTTAAAATCTGCGTTGAAATAATATTTTGAGGTGGAGGAAGAGAGGCAGGGAGGCGGTGGAAGTTAGGATGATCTGCAAAGACAGAAAGGCTTGGAGAAAAAACAGTGAAAGGTGTTGATGGAAAATACATTTAGCTGTTTCCTTAATTTCTTTGTCTTATTCTTTCTGGCTCTTTTTTCCCATTCTTGGCATAATGTGCCCAAAAGTGAAAAGCATAATAGGTTTATATTTTTCAACAGTGAAGAGAGGGAGGGAGGGAAGGAGGGAAGGAAAAAAAATTAAGAACGGCAAACATAGTATCTGATATTGCTGCAGGACAAACTTTGCATTACCCCCAATTGTTTTTATATCTGCCTTTCTAAATTTCAGCTAATTAGTCATTTGCAAGCATCAGGTTACTTCAGATAAGTTCCACATGTCTGAGCATGAAGACAATAAAGGGCCTGCAATTTTAGCGTGAAAAGTAATATTGTGGCATTTCTTGTTAATGACTGCTTTAATTCAGCACTTTCAATACCTTTACCCTGTTCATCTCGCTGGGCATAGTCATTTAAAGTTTCTAAATAATCACAAGACTTCAGTAATTGAGGGTATGTTCTATATGAGTTGTTGTGTCAGAAAGAATACAAACGAGAGCCGTGCAATTTGTCAAAACAATTGTTTCATGAACAGTATTTTGTAGACGCATCACTGCTCCGTAGTGGATTAAAGCACCTGCGTCTTTTGGCAACTTTGATGAGTTTTCTTTGATTTTGTTTCTAGTTGTAATTCTATTTGTTTTTAACAAATCAGAAGCGTTACTTCTGATCAATAAATTATTACTTATTGAACATTACATAACATTAATGGTAATTTTACAGCATTTCGCATCGACTTAACGTATTTTGCTTTTGTAGTTCTCTATTCTATCATTTCTATTTACTATTCAATACTAGGGTAATCGCATTACTCATATATATATGTAGGTCTTTGGTTATTTGGGTTTTGCCCCGCGTAAAATTGGAAATGTCTTTGCAACGTTTCGACGAAGTCTCATTCGTCATCTTCAGGCTGGTGTTTTCGGCTTCGTGCTTCTAGGAGCAATGTGTGATCGCAGCTGTTTCTTCCTTTTAACTGCCAGTGGGGGTGTGAACTGATTGGGTGGGAGCTTGGCTGTGTTCTGATTGGGTGGAGGTGTATTCTGATTGGTTGGGGGCTTGGCTGTGCTCTGATTGGCTGGGAGGTTGGCTGTGCTCTGATTGCTGGGGGTGTGTTCTGTTTGGGTGGGGGCTTGGTAGTGCTTGGGTTAGTCTGAGTTGCAGGGGGATTTGAGCTGGTGAGCTGCGTTGCTGTTGTTTGGCTTCGCGTTCGTGGTCGTGCTACATCTTCATGGTGGGTGTCAGTTTGCTTCATGTATGGATTGGAGGGGTTTAAAGTGGCTAATGATCCAGCTGTGGTCTGGCTTCTGGTTTGTGGTCGTGCCTCATCATCGGTGTGGGTTTCAGTTTGCTTTTTGCGTGGATGTGTGGTGGTGACATCCTGTGTGGTTTTCGTGAGTGTGGGTCTGGTGTTATTCTTTGTGTTAGGGACTCGTTTGACAATAAGTGTGGGTTTCCAAATGGCTGGTAGGCGGGAGGTATCATCTCGTTTATTCATGCTGTGTGGGCGTTTTTCTATCTTGATGGCTTCTCTGATTATTCTGATGTTAAAGTGTTCAGTTTTGGCAATAGTTCTGGTCTTTTTAAAGTCAATTTCATGTCCTGTGGCTTTAAGGTGTTGGACCAGGGAAGAAGTTGGTTCCTCTTTTCTGACTGAGTTCTTGTGTTCTTCAATGCGTGCACTTATTCTTCTGTTGGTTTGTCCGATGTATGTGGTGGGGCAGGCGGTGCATGGGATTTCATATACTCCTTGATTTTCTAACTCAATTTTGTCTTTGGGGTTTCTTAGGATGGTGGATATTTTTCGGTTTGTGCAGAATGCTGTCTTGATGTTGTGTTTGTGGAGGATCTTGCTGATTCTGTCTGTGGTGCCTTTTATGTAT